CGGGTGGGGCCCCCACCGCCCGGCTTTCCCCGGTGCCAGGCGCTGACGCCAGGCGGGGTCCTCCGGCTCGCCTCCAAATAAGGGCTTCCTGCTTCCCATATATGGCCATGTACGTCAGGGCCGGGGCGGGTTGCGGCTGGTGGGATCCGATATATAGAGGCGGCTCCGGAGTGGGCGAGGAGCCGAGCGCTTCCAGCGGGCAGCGGGGGGAAGCCCCGGGCCGTCCGGTGGGCGGAAGGTGATCGCTTCCAGCGGGCAGCGCTGGGTGGACGAGGCGCAAGGGCAGGCAGCAGGCAACGGCCGCCTCGCCGTAGCCGGCCCATCCATCGGGCCCGCGGCGGCGGCGTCACCCGTCAGGAGCCCGAACCCGGCTCCCTCATGGCTGCGGCCAAGGCAGAGATGCAGCTCCTGCCCTCGCTGCAGATCTCCGACCCCTTCGGCGTCTTTCCGCACTCGCCTCCCGCCATGGACGGCCACTATCCCAAACTGGAGGAGATGATGCTGCTCAGTGGCGGGGGACAGTTTCTTGCGCCTTCCGGGGCGCCCGAGAGTGCGGGCTTCGGCGTGGCCGGGGAGCCCGGCGAGCAACATTTTGAGCACCTCGCGGCAGGTAAGCGTGATGGCCTCGCCCGGGCGGGCAGGGGACTCCTAGTCAACCGCGGAGGCGGCAGCGCCCACGGGAGCTCCGAGACGCAGCGATGCCTCTGACCCGGCAGCTGCGCGGGGGTATCTCCTATGCTGTGCGTCAGCGGCTCTGGGCTCGTTGCTGCTGGAGAACTGCCAGCGGCGCTGCAATATGTTGCACTCAATTATTAATTAACCAGAAGCAAAGATCTGGGGCTGCACTGCGTGGGGATGGCTCGTGAAGCACTGGCAGCAGCTCCAGAGCTGCAGTGGCTGCTAGAAGTAATCACTTCTCTTCTATTTTCAGACACTTTTCCTGAGATCTCCCTGAACAACGAGAAAGCCATGCCAGAAACCAGCTATTCCAACCAAACGACACGGCTACCACCAATTACCTACACGGGGCGCTTCTCCCTAGAGCCGGCCCCCAACAGTAGCAACTCTTTATGGCCAGAGCCCCTCTTCAGCCTTGTCAGTGGGCTGGTGAGCATGGCTAATGCACCTCCCACCTCTACATCCTCTTCATCTTCTCCTTCCTCTTCACAGAGCACTCCCCTGAGCTGTTCTGTCCAAGCCAGTGAGAACAGTCCGATTTATTCAGCTGCACCAACTTTCCCCACTTCCACCTCTGATATTTTCCCCGAACCGCAGACCCAGTCCTTTCCCAGTCCCTCTGGAGTCCCCATCCAATATCCACCTCCAGCTTATCCGACTGCTAAAACCAACTTCCAGGTACCAATGATCCCGGATTACCTGTTCTCTCAGCAACAGAGTGAGCTCAACCTTATCTCAGCTGATCAGAAGCCCTTCTCAGCCCTTGAGACCAGAGCACAGCAGCCTTCCCTCACACCGCTGTCCACTATCAAGGCATTTGCCACACAGACTGGCTCTCAGGAGTTGAAGACCCTCAACACTAACTATCAGTCCCAGCTGATCAAGCCCAGCAGGATGAGGAAATACCCTAATCGTCCCAGCAAGACACCTCCTCATGAACGGCCCTATGCTTGCCCAGTGGAGTCCTGTGACCGGCGATTTTCACGGTCTGATGAACTAACTCGTCACATTCGCATCCACACTGGACAGAAACCTTTCCAATGCCGCATTTGCATGCGGAACTTCAGCAGGAGTGACCACTTGACCACACACATCCGCACACATACAGGAGAGAAGCCATTTGCATGTGACATTTGTGGCAGAAAGTTTGCCAGAAGTGACGAGAGGAAGAGACACACTAAAATCCATCTTAGGCAGAAGGACAAGAAAGTGGAAAAGGCAGCTTCAGTCTCAACTACTTCTTCCCCTGTTGCTGCCTACTCATCCTCTGTGGCTACGTCCTACTCTTCCTCCGTAGCCACCACTTACCCCTCACCAGTGCGCACAGTGTATTCCTCCCCTGCTTCCTCTTCCTATCCCTCCCCTGCACACACAGCATTCCCATCCCCATCGATAGCAACCACTTACCCCTCTGTCACTGCCACGTTTCAGACCCAAGTGGCCACTTCCTTCCCATCTCCTGGGGTTACCAATAATTTCAGCTCACAGGTGACTTCAGCACTTTCAGACATGACATCAACCTTTTCTCCAAGGACAATTGAGATTTGCTAAGATCACCTTCTGGAACAGGAGCGTTCACCTCTTCCACTGGCACTATGAGACATGGAGTCTTCAGTTACTCCCCCAACACTGTATGTTGCAAGGCTATCTAATATTTCTTTAAAATTCAGCTGCCTGAAAAAACTGCTGTTTAAGTTTTCCACCACTGTTGATTAACTTAATTTGCATGGACTGTGGATATAAGTTCAGTATAATTTTCCCCATAAACAAACGATAGTATTTTATTGAGAGGAAAGGACCTTTAATTAAGCACATAGCTGATGTAAATTGTATGTGTGCCATGGTTTTGCTTTCCTTTAGGTACTGTTGATGTTGAAAAAGTTTTGCATATCCACGTTGTATTATTTGGAGTTTGCAGGGCCATATTTTGTAAATGTTAATTCTATTTTAGTGGCAATGCTGTAATGAGTTTAAAACTTCTTTGGGTACAGCACTTACTGTATTTGAGCATGTAAGAGTGATGTTATGTAAAAAACACCTGATAAGACACTCAAATGTGGCAGAAGTTTTGTTTTTAAAGTTACAAGTCTTGGTGCCTTTTTTGTGAAGCCTTGCTGATGTCATGCATTTGTGTGAATAGATGCTTTGCATCTTGCCTTAAAGCAAAAGGGATGTTATGCAAACAATGTAAGAGAAAGCAGGGAATGGGTGGGGAAGGGAACACTAGTATGCCCTGGGAGACAGAATGTAAGCAAAAAACCCCACAGAAACAAATAGGAAACAAATTAAGAAGAACAACAACAAAATCCCACTTCTCAAAGTCTATTTTTGTTACAAAAATGTAAATTTATAAGTATGTATATTCAGGAGTTGGAATGTTGTAGTTACCTACTGAGTAGGCAGCAATTTTTTTGTATGTTATGAACATGCAGTTCATTATTTTGTGATTTATTTTTACTTTGTAATTGTGTTTGTTAAAATGAAAGTGACTGTTTGGCTTCTAAATACATTGAATGCGCTTTCCTGCAAATGGGATATTTGGTGTACCAATACCCTTCAGAAAATGTAATAAAAAAGCAAAATCAAATCATGTAAGTTTTCACATTTTCCTTTAAGATGCCACATAAGAAGCCTGCTGCAGAAAACCTGACTGCTAGGAAGTAATGGGTGCTATTTATTTCCTGGAGAAGTACCTGCATGAAGAAAGGAAGGAGTATCAGTCACTCCTGACTGTGTCCAGGAGTGCTGTCAAAGGTGTGGATACAGCAAATGCCCTTGCATTGGTGCATCATCTACTGTTTGGAAGTAATCACAATTCTTGTTTTCTGGCTTCTCCAGAAGCGTGTGAGCTTATCACAGAAAGCAAAACAATGCTCCCAGTGCTGAAGGTGAGGCTTAAAAGTCAGAATCTCAAATATGCAAAGACCTTCCTGGGTAGTAAAAAGGGTATGTTAAGGCAATGGCATAGTTTCCAGCTGAAAATAAAATAAGCTCAGTACATGTGGCTGATGGACGGAAGGCAGGGAGATGAGAATTGTCATAGCTTCTTCTGTTACACAGCGCATGGCATAAGAAGTGCATGTGCTTGATGGCCTATAGTACAAATGTTTTAGGGTTTGGAGAAGGAAGTGCATCCTTATTTGATGGCTTAAAATATATTTCAGAGTGCACAAGCTCTCTATGGAGTGAATTCAGAGGAGTTTGCAGCGGTGAGAAGTAGCAGTACAAATTTAAAGGAGGAGTCTAGTGTCAGTCTTTCCAGGTAGGTTCTTTACAAACTACTCGATATCTGGAGTTGCGAGGAGCTGAGAAGCAAACACAGGAGTTGATGCCTGTATCTGGCATGATGTTCAACGGGAAGCAGTTTCTGTAGCAGATGGCATGCACTAATACTTGCCAAAGTCAAGTCCACAGGCTCAGGAGTGCAACAGGCTGATTTCCCTGGCTAGTTCCTCTTGAATGCAGTCCTTAGATTTTGGTCTCAACTGTGGCAACTTTTACTTTGAATTGTCTGTCCACATGCATGACAGGAATGAAAGAAAACACATGGCCTTCTGTGCCTGGTCTTTTTGTGGCCTTTGTCCAGTAACAGGAAAGTATATTTCAGGGTTTCTGTGCATATTCTGCGAAGCTCTCTTTCTTCACGCTGGTCTGAAGAGGACAAGCCTTATGAAGTTTACTCCCTAGTTTTATTGGGAGCGTGAGAATTTTCTTTTGAGGAGGTCGCAGCACAGCTAGGATTCTCTCCCAAGGAGGCTGTTCCCAGGGAAGCAGCAGGCACTGCCAGCAGCTGGGAAATTTCCCCCCTTGTGAGCAAATGCCAGCTGGAGCTGGACAAGAAGCACACTAGGGGTAGCACAGGCTGCTGTCAGAAAATTCGTTTGGCTGATTTAAACCTCAGCGGTTTGTGATCTGTGACTAGCTTCAGCTGTGATCATTAGTGACAGAGAAACAAAACGTGCGTCACCGCTAGCAGCAGCCCAGCTGGTCTTGGGGGCGCCGCGGGAACCCACAGCGACTGCTCGAGGAACGGCACCGCGCCGCCGGGGCCGGGCCGGGCAGCGGCACACCGCGCCACTGCTGGGAGCGCGCCGGCGGCGGCGGGCTGAGCCGCGTCACGGAGGCACGGGGCCGCCAAGGCCGAACGGAAACGCCGCTCCAGTGGCGGCCGGAAGCAGGACCACCATATTTGGCGTTTCCACCTCTCCTTTTATGGTACTTCCGAGGCCCAAAAAAGGCGCTTCCTGCTTCCACCCTCCCGGGACTGCGCGGTGGATTTTCCGGGAGCCCGCTGGCCTGAGAGCCGCCGCTGCCTGGGCGCGGTTCCGCCCTCACCTCGGGGGCGACCTGGCGGGTTCCTTGCACGCAGCGGGCCCTGAATTGGCCGCGGGCGGCTCTGGGTTTGGGCAGCGTCTGCTTCGCCCAGGGCCCACCAGTAGGCCCGGAGCCTTTCGGACGCTCAACCCGGGGGATCTGCGGCTGAGGGCCCCGGGCCGTTCCTCGCTCCGCGTTCCGGTGCGGTTTCTTTCGTAGAAGCTTTGTCGCTTTGTGTACGTCCGTCAGAAATAGGTTCGGTGCAGTTTAACCCGAGGAGTGCTGAAAAGGCCGTTGCCCGCGTTCAGCCAGGCTTTTCTTCTGTAGAGCCTTTTCATAAGCTGCTGTTCACCTGGGGAAGTGGGGGCGGTCCTTGCCTAGGAGGCTGTTTTGCTCTTTAATTGCGCTGCGTGGCCTCAGAATCTTTCTAGATGAATAGATTCTTCAGTTACTTTTCCTTCAGAAATGTATTTCTGGGCTGTAGGCCAGCTCTGGTGATTCTGAAGAACCCACCTTCCCCTTGTGTGCTATGTGGCCTTGTTGCTTTGTGCCTTGTTTTGTTCTGGAAATGCTACTAGAGATAACAGTTGTGAAATACAACTGTAAAGCAATTTTAGTTGCAGCTGTGGATTGAAAGACAAACACTGTGTAGAGAATGAGTTTAGTTCTAGCACTTCTGATGGCTGTTCATACGTAGTCAGAAATCTGACATAAAGTTCAAGAAAGCACAGCAGCATTTTGGTTGATTCTATTGGTTAAAGGTTTCAGCTGTGATTCTTATTTTTGTGTAAATAAGCTTGAGGTGGTGAGAAACTCCAGGTGTACTCAGGTGAACTGGAAAGCAGCTCTGAGTCATGAATTTAGTGGCAGAAGCTTTCTGTAATTCTGACATTCTTCTCAAGGATGAGGGCGTTTTGTGAACAAAACAAGGTCCCAGGAGTTGCAGCTGTGGCTGTAACATGCCAGAGGCCTGTGGTGTCATAAAATGAACACACAAAGATCTTTATTTTTTAAAATGTGTCAGCATGAAAATGGAATAGCTAATAAGTAAGCAAATGTTGATAAAAACTTGCTAAGAAAACTGTTGTAATTGATCAAAAGAAATTCAGTTTCTGGTCTGTTGTCAGAGGTAGTCCTGGAATATTCTTCTAGCAGTTGTGACCTGTGGCTAATAAATTTCATGAACTGGAGCCTCTCTTGGTGTTTTTTTTTTTTTTGTGTGACTCTATCCAGATGATTTATGGAGTTGGGCAAGGTCACAGTATTCATGGTATTTGACTGAAGAGTGAGTATTAGTGTATCCAGGTGCTGTCAGAAGTAGAAACTTTTGTGTGCTTAAACTCTCTACTTCATAATTTAGTTTGATTGCTATTAAGACTTACTGCAGAATGTGAAGATAATAAAGTTTCTGTGATAGGGGAAACCAAGTTTTGTAGCTTCTGTGTCTGTTTTGTAAAGTGAGTGGTTTGTACCTCCTGTCATCTTTTCCTGTACCTCGTGTCATTCTCCTTTGTTGTTTCTAATAAGTAGAGGCCTGCACTATCCGCAGTATTCAGCGTGTCCCTGCTTGAGCAGGTTTCGCCAGATGACCCCCAGAGGTTCCTTCTAACCTAAACCGTTTTGTGATTCTCTGATGTAGGATGAATATAGATTAATTGAAGTATATATTCTTGCCTCCTATGTTCTTTATTACTTGTCAGATATTTCCAAACATTCCATCTGGCTTTTGAGCAGTGATCTGATCACTCCAGTCACTCCAGAATGTGGAGACAAAGCAGCGAGAGTCGGCAGAAGAGAGGGAATATGGCAACAGGTGAACCTCAAATAACTAAATATTAGTGCAGTAAGTTCAAGATTGTTGCACGTATAATGGAAACCAGAGAGAAAAAAGCCTCTGGGGAGAAGTCTTGTGCATTATGGGGTGTCTTGTTGGAATCTTGTGTTACAGGAAATTGAGGCTGCCTTGTAAACTAAAGTCTTTATGTTTAAAAAAAAAAAAAAAAAAAAGTTAACAGTAAAACATTCCCCACTTGTAGAATGTGTTGTGTTTAGGTAGTTCTTGTAGTAGTTCATTGGGTCTCACGTGTTCCTTTTCTTGCTTGGAGGAAGGCACCTCTGTGAATGTATTTCCTTATTGCAGCATTTTTATATGGGAAGGACAGACATCTGTCTTTTTTTCAACATGCTGCAGTTTCCGTTTTTGAAAAGCAATGGCAGTGAATAGGTGAAACACTGGGTGAGAGGAGGCTGTCATTGTTATCATAACCAGGAGACCAAAGAGGGAGGATGGAATGCTCTGTCTGAATTTGTGCACAGTGACAGAGTTGTCGTGGCAGGGGATACAGACAGAGTACATGCTCTTTTTCTCTAAAGATAAGTTGCCACCATTTCAGTTCTTATCACAACTTTAAGAGATAGTGTTTCACCACAATAGTACTGTTAAACAAGCTTTTAAAGTTATTTTGCTGTGTGTCGCCTACCTTTGCATGTCAAACCTGTGTCTTATTTCACAAAATTTATTCTGTTGGTAAAGGACTGTGTTGTTGATGTTTATTAGAAGGCGTCTTGTAAGTTCCTCTTGAGCACCATACAGAAACCACTGTATAACATCCCATTTCTTGCATCTCTGTTCTCTCTTCCTGTCTTTTTCATTCCATAGTGCTAATCCAGAGCACAGTGTTTGGAATCACTATGGCATACAACCAAGAGCATTTGTGGCTGTCCAATGAGAACCTGATTGTGAAGCTTCAGGCTTGCTGTTGAGGCTGTCTTGTTTGTCAGGAATTTGACTCCAGAGTGAGTTTTTTGAAGAAGGAAGTTCCAGCAGTCAGTCACATCCAGGTATGAAATCCTTTAATTTGGTTAGAAAATTGTCAGTTGCTCTCTATATGCACGCTTATTGACTAGTTTTGTTCAACACAAAGAGTTGCCACACAATTAGATATCCTCTCATTTTGTGGATTACTGAAAGGCATTTCCTTCTCCCAAAAAATCTCTTTGTGTAAGTTACTTCTCTTAGTGATATATGAGCAATAAATTCTTCTCAAGCAGAACAGAGAGAGAGAGAGAGAGAGAGAGAAAGCACATCTGAGAAACGTTCACCTGTCATTTCACCATCTCATTTGGTGTTTTGGAAATAGGACAATATGAAGTTTATGTAGTGGAAATGCTAAGTTATGGCCTGAAACAGTGATTTGAGCTCCTGGTGGGAAGGCAAGGCTAACAGGAGAGCTCAGGTGCAAGCAGTGTATCTGAATGACTGGAAGGAGCGGAGCCAGGATCCACCTCTTCCCAGACCTCGTTTAAGGGTTGGCAGTGGAGGTGAGGGCTTCTCTTGCTGGAGGTCTCTGCCTACCTGAGGCCGCTTCTATTTAGTATTGTTATTAATGATCTTGATGAGGGGGTTGAGTTCACTCTCAGTAAGTTTACATATGGCACCCGGTTGGGAGGGAGTGTTGATCCCCCAGAGGGGAGAAAAGCTCAACAGAGGGACCTGGATGGAATGGATCAATGGGCCAAGGTAAACTGTATGAGTTTCAAGAGGGCCAAGTGTCGGGTCCTGCATTTTGGTCACAACAACTCCAGGCAACCCTACAGGCTTGGGGAGGAGTGGCTGAAAAGCTGCCTGATGGAAAGGGACCTTAGTGTGCTGATGGACAGCTGGCTGAGTATGAGCCAGCAGTGTGTCCATGTGGCCAAGAAGGCCAATGGCTCCTGCCTTTTATCAGGAATGGTGTGGTGAGCAGGACTGGGGAAGTCATCCTGCCCCTGTGCTCAGCACTGGTGAGGTCTCACCTCGAGTACTGTGTTCAGTTTGTGCACTTCAGTACGGAAAGGACATGCAGGTGCTGCAGCAGGTCCAAAGAAGGGCAACAAGGCTGTGAAGGGCTTGGAGAATATGGCCTACGAGGAGAGACTGAAGGAACTGGGGCTATTCAGTCTGGGGAAGAGGAGGCTGAGGGGAGACCTGATTGCTCTTCCAATACCTGTAAGGTGCTTACAGTGAGAGCGGGGCTGGTCTCTTCTCAGTGGTGACAGGTGGCAGGATGAGGGGAGATGGCCTCAAGTTGTGCCAGGGTAAGTTTAGGTTTGATATCGGGAAGAAACTTCTATACAGAAAGGGCTGTTAAGCACTGGAATAGGGTCCCCGGGGAGGTGGTTGGGTCACCATCCCTGAATGCGTTTAAAAACCATCTGGATGCGGTGCTCAGGGACGTGATTTAGCAGAGGGTTGTTAGAGGTAGGCTAGTATGGTTAGGTTGTGTTAGGACTTGATCTTTAAGGCCTTTTCCAACATGAGCAGTTCTATGATTCTCAAGGTAATAATCTATTTTCTGAAGTTTGGTCACTTATTTTTGCTTAATGCTGAAAACCCACCAGTGGGTATGGTTCGGAAATCTGTCCACTTGCTCAAATCACTGACCAACATCTTCAGGAGGACCTTGAGCTGATGTAACTCTGCGAGGAAGTTGTAAGCTTCGCTGTACAATCAGCAACTTGAAAATGATTTCAGTTTAATGGACAGCAAAATGGCTGCTAGTGGAAGAACAAAATAATGCTGCAGGATCAAAGTGTACTAGCAGGAGATGAGCAGAATGAATTGAGGCCAGTGGCAGTTAGTCAGTGCAGAGTTCCTGGCCTCCGATCTCACTTGTTCAGACTTGCTGGAGAATGTTCCTCCAGACTCGGTGGTTTTCCTCCCACTGAATTCATACTCTGTTACACTTACTTAGCATGTATCCCTAGAAGATGGTTGTAGAAGGAAAAGGGACAAGATCTGAAGCATTTTAAAAGCAAACAAAGGAGCATAAAGGAAAACTCACACCAAACTGTGCTGACCCAATGAAGGCAGCAGACTGAATGGTGGAAGGCCTTGAGAATTGTTTTGTTGTTCACTTGTGGTTACATTGGTCATGAACTTGCACACCTTAATTTCTCACACTTTGGATGCTGTAGCAGAGGGTGGAGGAGATTTCAGAGCAGGAAAAGTACTCTGGCCACTTGGTGTTGGTTGGCTGATGGAGGCCCCCTCTGTCACTTCGCTGACGATTAATTTCACCAAAGCTCAGTGACATCGCTGATGCAGCGGTTCCTTTTTTCATTCAAGCTGGAGATCCGGTCTCCTTTTCCTTTGCTCTGAATAGCACGGCGCTAGGCTTAACCCGGAGTGGCATTCTGAACTGTGGCAGTGAAGTTCAGTTCTGAAGGAGGCTCCAACTCTCAGGCTGGTGCTGGCAGCGACAAGTGCCATCGTTCTGAGTATGTAGAGGCAGTGAGGCAGCAAAATAGAAAACAGGTGTTGGAGCTTGAAGCTCAGTTCAGAAAGAAAGGGGTTTTCAAGCATCGTCAGGATGCTACCAGCTCTGATAGTAATCACTGCTCAGAGTGGTCAGTCCTCCTAGGGTTTTCAACAAACTCAGGAATTTGGGGACAGCATGGAGAACTCCCTACTCCAACAAATGACATTCCTCTTCATCAGCCCAGACGTACCTTACCTCTGTCTTTTCTACATGTAGGAAAGCAGCCTCTCTGGTGCAACTTTTTCCAGTGTTGCTTACTTTGGAATGTGTAAGCGTGGAATCTGTCCCTCTCTATCCTTTGCAGGATGTCATTTCTCACAGCAAAAAGCTTTTTAAGGAGAACAAGAAGCAGCTCTGACATGATGACGCTGAACAAGCAAAAAGGAGAATTGAAAGCTTTGAGCAAAGAGAAGGGGGGGGAACAAAGCTGGAAGCCTGTCAACATCTTTTCTACTTCCTTCAGGTACGCAGCTTCTCGTGCTGCTCCTAGAGCACACCTCCTGTCATAGAGGCTTCCCTGTGCCGGTGCAGTCTTGGCAATGCGCTGCAGTGTTGTGGCATTGTAATTCTTTGTGGCGCTGGCCTTTGTGGACGCATACATGAAGCATTTTTCTTCTTGTTGTAGACTAGCCCAGGGTAGTTGGGCAAGCTGAATTTTTCAGATGCCTAAAAGCAAATGCACAGAGCTCATGGATTTGGTCATCTTCACGCTGTGTAACTGTGTGTCCAGACGAAGAGAGGAATATCTGCTGTGTCAGCTTTCCCAAACAGCGCTTCTGGAGGAGATCGGGTATGTTGTACCATAGGACACAGCCTTGCTGCGTTGCCTCAGTTTGGACAGTTTCTAGAATGGAAACCGTTCTTGTGTGACGTTCTGTGCTAATTTGCAGATAATTTCCTGCATTCTGCTTATCCCGTTTCACATTAGTCCTTTCTGTAATCTGGAAAGGAGAAATTAACTTTGTTCTTTAGGAATTAATCTGTTTGTCTTTAGCCTCTACTTTGTTGCTCAGGAAGGCACTATTTTTGATCTAACGTAATGCCTTTCTGAAATTCAGTTCAATCTAAATTCTCTGCTGTCTAGTAAGAAGGACTGCCCACAGATTGCAAGCTGGAGCGTTACAGGCCAGTGATGAAGCTAACAAGGAGGCGTCTGGGTTTTAAATAAGGAATCAGAAGGCTGAGAATCAGGTGCTTTGTTTGATGTTTTCACTGGCTGTCCTACTTCAAGATTCTGTTGGTCCATAGGCACGTCAGCTTGGTGCTTATGACTTCAGTTCTTATGATACAGAGCTGCACCACTTGCTGCCTAGACCAAATACAGATATTGTTGGATATACAGAATATTGTTGGAGGAGATTACTCTATATATATATATATATATATATATATATATATATATTTTTTTTTTTAATGCTTTTAAAGTGTGAGGGTGGTATATGCCTTCAAACAAGTAGTGTCTAAAAGAAATGTATTTTTTTGTTCTTTTTCTTTTTTTTTCCTTGAGCAGTGGTTCAGAGAAATGTGGATGCTTTCTTCCCTGCCGCTATGTTTCCTATAGCGATATTGTAGGGATGGTTTCTATTGTTGATTGCTTACTTTCTTATTTTAAATGCTGAAGGAAGTATACCATTCTTTTTCTTCTGCTTATGTAAGACTCCCTTTGTTTCCTTCATAGATCTGAGCTGTGCTCTGGAACAGAATGTACAGCTGGATCTAGAACAGTTGCCAAAGAGGAGTCTGCAGACAAACGGTGCTGGATTTCCCAGAGGGAGGTCATCGAGTTCCTTGCCTTCTCGCAAAGTGTTCTTGTATTTTTCTTAAATAGCATTGCATGTTACTGCTGTACCGAGACTTTTATGACAACTCCATTATCTGTTTCCCAAAGGTGATGCTGAGAAACACGTCTCATGCATACCTCACGTTTCGTATTAATTCTTCCGTTGGGTCAAAAGCAGACCAAATCCTTGAAATGAGGCTGAAATAAAGCTGAATAACTGTCTCACTGTTATTAAAATAGTTGGCTGTGGTTCCTGTGGTCAGAATGCCCTGTGGCAGCTCCTGGTACCACTTGTGAATGAAAGAATTGATGACAAATTGCTTGATATCACGACCGATCTGGTGGATATTTACAAGCCTTGGGGGATCCAAACAGGATCTCAGAGTGGTGAGGCCAGGTCTGGAATCTGCTATTACAGTGTTTCTTCTAAGAGTTGCTTGGCTGTTTTGCCTTGCTCTTGTGAGAGGTAGATTGTGGTTTTGTAGTAGAAGCTTCCAGTATTTTCTGTATGTAGTATAGGTCTACACTGAACTTACAACCCTTTTGTGAAATAGCAGTTTTCCTTCCGCTAAGTAAGTTGCTAAACAGAGTAAAAAGTTAAGATTTGGGGCATTCTGATGGGGGTAGAACTGAGCCAGGCACAAAATAAGGCAAATACGCAGGGTGGAGAGAGCAGGACAGAACAAACGTGCTCATTCTTGGAATTGTTGCCCTCCATGGAAAAGTACAAAACATACCCAAGAAACAACAGGTTGGTAATGGACCTTATGTGGAAATGAGTCACAGCAGCAGCGTTGGGGAGCTTGTGAACCTGAGATGCGAGCGCCAGGAAAGAATTGCCTGCGTCGGGTTCAAGTGTATAGAACAGAATGAATTTCGAAGACTGGTGTGCAATTACTCCCTTGCTAACGGGGGTGTGCGCCCGTTACTGCAATAATAAATGAACTTTGTTGCTATCAGTAAGATCCTTGTCTAACCTGAGATTTTTGACTTGCAGTGTTTCTCACAAACGTGTAACTGAAATCAGATTTGGTTAATTGTTCCAAGCCATCCTGCGCTTGGCTGCACACATCTGTCCGATTGATACCAGGTTTTTTTTTTTTATTGCCTCAGGCTCTGGCTGTAAAAAAGCCAAATAATAAAAAGCATGACAACATCAATGTGCTGGTTATTTATTTATTGGCAGATATTTGTAAACACGTAGCGCAGGTTCAGTGGGTTTGTCGAAGATGTCCTTCATTTTCTTTGTCGTCTCTTCTTCCCCCCCTTTCTCTCCTGTGTTTTTCCACTGTCATTAAAAGAGAAGAGGTTGCTGGGTGCCGTGCTGCAGGTGCCCATCAGTCCTACAGGTGAAATGATTTTCACGGTCTCTAATGCCATCGCGTGGCCAATCGGCAGAACTGCGTCCAAGTTATTTCCGCTGTCTGTGGTGCCCCCTCGTGGTCACTTGGTGGAACAGCGACGAAGCTGTTTCCACGCTCTCTGGTGCCCCTACGTGGCCAATCGGGGGAATTGCGGCAGCTTTTTTATGTTGCCGCAGGGAGCAGGGCGCATGCGCCTAGGCGCGCGGAGGTGGCGTGCGCACCTTCTCGTCCTTCTGCGCAGCCGATTCGCCGATCTTCGTTATGCTTAGTTCTCCAGGCAGCAGTGCGCATGCGCCAGAAAGTTTTCACTAGCGTACATGTTTTCAAAGCCCTGAGATGTGGGCGAACAGTCTATTCTTGGACCTCTGGCTTAGCAATAGTTTTATCTCTTCCAACCCGCAGTGCTCCTTGTCTGTTTTCTTGGGCGGTTTTATGCCTGAGTCTATTTCGAGAACGGACTATTTAGGCTCCCAGCAGACCATGCATCCGACGCATGCGTAATGAGGCACCGAAAAAACTGAATGCATAGGTGTGTATCCGAAAATGAGAATACATAATCATGGGAGTATGCTGGTGCGTGCTTAGTCCAGTGCTGAGGCAGGCGCATGCACAGTACTGTGCTGGGACTGGCACGTGTGCACTCCAGTATCAAAAATGGCACAAGTGCAGTGCGGTGTGAAAACTGACACATGCGTAGTGCAGAGCCAAGGCTGGCACGTGCCCAGTACAGCGCTAACAATGGCACAAGCATTGTACGGTGCCCAGTGTGTTGCATGCGCCGTGCAGTGCTGGGACTGGCGCAAGTGCAGTCCCGTGCAGACTACGACGTGTGGGCATTGCGGGACAGCGGATGGCACATGCGGAGTGCAGAGCGAACGCTGCCACATGCACAGTGAGGTACAAAGGCTGGCACAGGTCAATGCAGGAAGGTGGCACATGCTCAGTGCAGTGCGATCAATGGCGCATGCACAATGCTCTCCTGCGATAGGCGCATGCGCAGTGCAGGGCCAAGAGCAGTGCATATGCAATGCTGTCATAGCTGGTGCATGCGCAAAGCAGTGACGAGACAGGTGCATGCACAGTGTCGTGCAAATACCGGCACATGCGCAGCGTGGTGATGTGACAGCTGCATGCACAGTACGGTGTAAAAGATGGCTCATGCGTTCTCTGGTCCCAATATTCACACACGCACATTATTGTGCCCAGGCTGGTGCATGCACTGTACCATGCAATGGGCTCATGTGCAATTGCAGTGCCAAGGCCAGCGCATACTCACTGTGAGGCCGAGGATGGGGCGTACGCAGTGCTGGGTCGATGCTCAGGCATGCGCATTGCGGGGTTGAGACGAGCGCATGCACCGTGCTGTGCAGAATCCTGTGCGTAGTGCCTTTTTTTAATAAGGACAGGCGCATGCGTAGCACTGTGTCGTGAATGTCGCATGCGCTGTGCATATAGAACCTGCTCATGCTCAGTGCGGGACCGAGCCTGGTGCATGCGTACTGTTGTCTCGAGAATTGAGCCTGCATAGTGCAGTACAGAAACCGCTGCATGCGCACTGTAGTCTCTAGATTCATACATGTGTATTGGTTTCTTGACACTTGCGGTGCTGTGCCGTGCTGCACGCCACTAGTGCGACTGCGAACCTCTGAGCTGATCGTGTTTCACTCCTGCTGACAATGCTTTTAAACGGCTGGGGGATGGTGCACGGCTTGGAGTGGAAGGGGAAGCCTGCTATTCCAATGCAGCGGTGAGCAAATTGGATGCCGCGAGGTGCTGAGGAGCACGTGTGAGTCAAACCCACCCATTCCCGGGTGGGCCCGGGCATAAAACAGTGGAAATAGATGAGGGCCATCCTGGATTAGAAGGGGAGAATATCGCTCAGCCGGCAGTCCAAGAATCGGCTGCTTGCCCGTAGCCGTAGTGGTTTGTCGAAAGTTGCTGTTTTTAAGTTGCCGGGCGCATCTTCGCTATTAGCTGGAGGACTGATCACCGTAGAGAGTGGCGGATTAGCTGCGCAGAGCGGTTAGAATGCCACTTCCGCATTTTGTACGCGCATGCGTTGTGCTGCTTGTGGGACGCTGCGGCCGTTTCGCCTATTGGCCACGAGGTGGCAGCAGAGACCGCGGAAAGAACTTTGATGGGATTGACGGGGAGCGGCGGCGCAGCGCCTGCATTCTGTTTTGTGATGACGAGGGAAGAACGCGAGGAAGTAGTGGGGTTGCGGGGGGAAGGACGAAGAAAACAGAAGGAAACTACTCCAAACGCAGGAAATCTGTATTAAGTTCTTATGAATATTTGTAAAAAAAAAAAAAAAAAAAAACAGTTCTTTTTTTTCTTTTTGCCAGCATCTGTTACATTGTTTTTAAATGTTCACATACCAATATGTAACTGCTCAGCAAATTTAATTATAACGAAATTAAAGCCGGTTGGCAGAAAGCACAGGGCCATATTAATGTTCGCTCAGCCTCAGTCCTGTTTATACTTCAATATATTTCTTTCCAAGGGCCTTCCTTCAGCTCCAGGTTTAATTTCTGGCTTTTTATTCTTTTTAATGCCATAAAATGGGTAATTTTAGGCCCTAGCATGTCTACACAGGCAGTCACAGCACAAAGTTGCTGTTTTGAGATTAGTGAGGACCATTGCAGTGTTTCCACAAAGATTAACAAAAACTGCAGTTCTGCACCTAAGTTTACAGATAGAAAAAAGTAATTGCTCTGCATAGAAAGAATCGATGCGTCACAGCTGCCATTGGCAACACGGCCCGAGAGTTGTGCAGGTCGATCAGGCTCAGCTGCAGCTTCTCAGCTGCCCTACCCTGGTCTTCCTGCAGCTGGACAGATAGCCCAGAAGGGCATGGGGTACGCAGACCCTCCCCGGCCAGCTGCAGCAATCGCTCCTGCCAGCACTCCCTTTCCCCCCGACCATTCCCATTTCGCAGGCTGGAGCCCTGTGTGGCAGAGGAGGAGAGAGCTGCACGCAGAAGGAAAACAGGGTGCTGGGATTCCTCCAGCTCGCTGCCAGCTGTCTTCTCTGACATTTTGGGGGTGGGCAGGGGACTGTGGGAGCACCCTCAAGGCTCTGGGCAGGAGGGAAGGAAGCAAAGATGCAGCTGCAGGCAGCGGGCTCAGAGCTGGAGCAGTGTGGCCGGGCACTGTACAGCTCACAGTCTGGGCACACGGAGCAAGTTTGTCCAGCTGAGGGCTGCAGGGCTGTCCTTACCAAGACCTCCCCCGTCCCACAGGTCTGCAGCGACTGCACCAGTTGCTCGAGCTCTTCCCACTGCAGGAACTCAGTAGTGACAACAAGCCTGACCCCGACCCAAGCAGGTAATGACAACATGCACACCCGATACAGAATCTGGCATTCTACAGTCCTCGCAGAGCTTGTTGCTGCTTTTTAGGCTGCTCTACAGCTATTCTGTCCTTTCCTCTCCATTCCCCTATGTCTTGTCCCCTTCCTTCGCACTGTGCCTTCCCCATTCCTTTTTCAGGCTTTCTCCTTTTTTTCCCCACTTCCTTCCCCCTGCAACGTCCCCATGTTCTGCTGCTGTTCTCAGCTGACGATCCTTAAACCACACTTTTCAAAGACATTGGATCAGATCGCATACTATCACTGATTTAAAAAAAAACAAAAACAAGCACAGTATTATAAATGGATACTCACCTCCTACCTGCTTGAAGAAAAATAGCAGCTCCTCACCCTGGAGTGTCACCATCAGCCCCAGGTTGGGCTGGCGCTGCTCATCTGCCCTGCAGCACTGCTCAAATGGCACCGGCACCTCCTGGCACGGCCTGCCACCTCCTTGTGCCACCTGTATGTGTCGCCTCCTCTCACTTCAGTAGTTGTGACCCCACACGTCAATCTCATGACTCC